TTCCAGGTCCATCCTGACCTGGGGTTATAGTACCTGTTAGGATTCCAACTATGAGCAAATAGTGAACCTCAAAACCTTGAATGCACAAAGTACAAATTGAGTGCTGTAAACAAACAAATTTTAAACAATGTGTAGTGCGCGATTCCCACTAAGAAAGACCAGATGGTCAGCATTGAGTTAAAATGTCAATAAAGAACCTTTGTGCTAAGAGTTCATCTGTGATGACGCCGATATGAAGCGAGGTTTTGCTCCTGGTGTCACTGTAGAGCATGAAATAACTCATATGAGTAAGTGAGATCTCCTCCTAGCCACCAGGTTTGTATTCGATCCTCAGAGGATGTCATTATTGCTTCTAACGTATAAATAGGTGGTCGTCACAAATGCGCTTAGAATGGGCACACATAGGACAACCGGATGAATGGTATTTATATAAGCAATGTTACAAGTCCAACCGACCGAAAAGGATAAAAAGAAACAGTATCATCGCGAGAAGGAGATCCACATTTGGAGAAAGCTACCAAAGCCACATACCCACTCGCCGATATTAAATAACGAAATCTAGGGGTGAATAGACAAAAAATGTACTGTGCTGGGTCCATACAGGGCGTAAGCGATCATGACCCTCTACATCTTCCTGTCCCTTGTAACTATTAATAAGCTTTGCCTTTTTTTTTTATTTCTCCGAAAACATGTTGTGCCATCCATTTACTCAAGCTCACCGAGTAAATTACGCGCTTTCCCCTGTCCCTCTTTCCCTCAATCTGTTCCGTGAGTATCAGACTTTCCAATCCCTCCTTCCTCATTACGAACACGAGAAACTGCAACTGCCTCTTCCTGATGTTAACTTTCCTTTTTGTTCCAGTATCTCTAAAACCTCTATGTTGCTCACATGTTCGGCCCATGGTATCCTTAGCATCTTTATGTAGAACCATATTTCTGTTGCTTCAAGTCTCTTCTTCATCTTTGAGGAGATTGTTCAGCATTCTTTAGGCTTTAATAACGCATTATCAAAGAGTTTTTTGTTGGTTATATGATTGTGTAGGCATTTTGTTGGGGGGGGGCTGATTTTCTTAATTGTTTTTTTTTCAAATATTTGCGCTTTAACAAGTCATGTCGCAATATTATCAATAAAAACACCTTGTCAATGACCTATAAACGTTGAAAGTACTTAGGCATCCGACAATTTTACTTTGAATTTTCCCGAAAGCCGGAAAGAATAGGTCGGCCGAAATCGAGAGAGAAAAAAAGCTTTAACAAAGAACTTTTTGTTGGTATTTATCTATTTTTGTATTTTTATAATAGATAATTAATTTAATAAATATAATTACCTATTATAGAACATTAAAAACATCCAACCTTATCATTAGCAACAATGCATTATCGACAAGATCAAGACAATATCAGACTAACATTTTTTCTTTCTTTTTATGTGCCATGACTCTTCAAAATGTAGGCGATCATGGCTCTCCACCTCCCTCTATCGCTTGTAGCTCTCAACAAGTTCCTTCCCTCTGTCATCTCCCCCAGACCACGTTCTGTCATCCACTTGCTCAAGCCCGCTACGTATGTCATGCGTTGTTTTCCTTTGTCTCTCTCTCCCTCTATTCGAACCGGGAGTATCAGATTCTCCAGGCCCTCCTTTCTCATTACGTGTCCCAGAAACTTCAGCTGCCTCTTCCTGATGTTAAGTATATGTTTTCTTTTTGTTCAGTTTTCTCCAAAACTTCCTCGTTGCTCACATGTTCGGTCCATAGTATCCTCAGCACCTTTCTGTAGAACCACATTTCTGTTGCTTCAAGTCTCTTCTTCATCTTTCAGCGGATTGTCCGGCATTTAAGGGGTATTTAAATTCATTACTGGCAGCAAGCAGCATGCATGCGCATAGACAACGTGTTCAGCGAATATACAAAAATCAAAAGGAGCATAAGCTGTTCAGCCTATACAGCAAGGCAATTCTGAGATAATTGGAAATCCAACCGGGATTTAGCATTAACAGCCACAATATTAACAACATAAGATACGCAGATGACTGATAGCAGACACGGAAAAGAAACTATAAAATTTGGCCGAGCGGTCAAAGCACGCCAGATCAAACAGCGGTTCCTTCTGCAAAGGCGACGTAGGTTCGAAACCTGTCGCAGGCAGCATAACATTTTAATGAATGTTCTCGAATGTGCAGGCCGGTAGACGAAATATTATAGTGTTTAAAATAAACGGGGCGTATATTCAAATATGAGTATCCACTAAAAATAACGTTCAAAGTGATATATAGAAATGTGTGTGTGTAGTCGATTTTCTAAGCGGGCACTTCGACGTAGTGTACTAGTTAGCAAGGTTCTCTCGCTAGTTCAATTACAACTGAGGGTTGGGTTATTTTGTTTTACGGCATGTCAACCTCAGTGGGCCATTTAATGCCGACAATTTTTATTGCTGGTAATATTTTGTTTTGTCAAAAATCTATTTCTGGTAATATTTTTTTCCTCAAAAATATATAGCTGGTAATATTATTTTAAAAATTGTATTGCTGGTAATATTTTTTTTCAAAAACGTATTGCTGGTAATATTTTTTTTCCCAAAAATATATTGCTGGTAATAATTTTTTTTCCTTCAAAAATTTATCGCTGGTAATAATTTTTTTACAAAGTATTTCTGGTATTAAAACCTATTTTTACACTTTCATAATGCTTTTTATCTCAGTCCGGGGGGTTAACTATTTGCCCATAGCTGGGACCCTAACAGGTGCTACCACCCCCGGGTCAGGGTGGACATGGGAACGCCAGCAATTAAGAGGTGGTTCCACGATCCTCAAAACCTCCTGATCAGAGGCCTTGCTGTTGGACGTAGTTTATCGTCATACCCAGGATGGAATTACAACTGAGTTGTCAGTTCGATCCTCACTAGGTGTCCCACGCCTTTGGCCGTGTGCCACATATAAGCTACGCTCGAAAACCATTGGGAACTTCGATGTGGTGAAATGTTTATCAAGATTGTCTCGCTAGACCAATCATGATTGAATAGTGAGTTCGATCATGGGTGTCATACTCCCAGCCCTGTGCCAAATCTAAGTTACGTTTAGAAAAACACCATATGTTAATTTGCCAAATATTTGAAACTTCCAATGACCTAATTCCTAATCACTCAGATTTTCATTCCCTACTGCTTTATTAAGGGTCGTAGAATGACGACCCGAGAGATGCCGAGAACAGCAATTCCTTAGAATTAAATAATTTTAAGAAGGATGAATATATGAATGTCGCCAAGAAAAACCCAAAATACGTACTACGAATTGGACATGTCAAAATTCCGAGTCCAGGGAAGTGTTTCAATAGATGATGCAAAATGTTATACAGAAATCAGGAATAGAAAAAGATGCCATCCAGAAACTAAGGAAAGTATAAAGAAAGGAAATGTTTGTTATAAACAAAGATATAAAGTCTTGAACTAAAGAATTTATAGAAATTTTTACTTTGCGATGTCTTCTGTAGATAAGTATATTAAATATATTTCGACGTATGAGGAGCCGGCAACCTCATTCAGTGTTTATATTTGTATCATATGTGACACTTCAGTCCCGCTAGTGACCTGCATACAAGTCCATATATCGTGCAACAGTGATAATCTTGGGAGATAGCAAAAGGAATATTTGCTGACACTTTTCACCGTTGTCTTTCATCTCCTATCCGGTCAATACGACTGATTTCGAAAATTCTGATACTACTCTGGCAAAAATGTTTCCATTTATTTCTATTTACGGCAACATGCACGAAATTAATATGAGGCATATTGACAGCTGAGTCTTTAGCTTGTCTTTAGACCTGAGCCACGGCTGTCCTTTATTCACTGTGAAGCTGGCTATATATGAGGACCTTAGGTATGCTATCGTTACTCATCCTTGCAACATGACCAGCCCAGTGAAATTGCGACTGCAACAGGAATGTCTCAATTCCACCAATGTTGCATTTTGCACGAAAATCAGCATTGGACACACTGTTGTCAAAAGTACAGACAAAGATCGTGCAGAGACAACTTTTGTGGAAGACACTCAGCTGATTGATATCCGACCTATATGAGAGGCTTACGATTCCAAGCCGTATACCAGTGTGATCAAAACATCTGCTCTATAAACCCGTATTATGGTGTTCAATTTGATATCTCTCATTCCATAGGCGGTAGCGAAGCTTCCTAAATGAACTTGTAGCTTTGGAGGTCCGATTTGTTATTTCGTCATAAAGGGATGCATCTGAATTCATTTTACTTCCTAAATATGTAAATGACTTCAAGTTCTTCCCATCAATCTGTATAGCATTGTCTGGGTAATGATATTGTTGTAGAGTAGTTTTCATAGTGGAGGCTTGTATTTCAATAAGTCGTCCTAAATTAGGTTCGACGTACAAAACGTTAGGAACATGAAATAAGAGTTAATGACGCAGCAATCTAGTTGTGATGGTTGATACTTCAATGTCCGACATCGACTGACTCACTCAACACCACTGAGCCCAACTGGCGACCGCTACTACTACTACTTATTATGTGTGGGAGAGTCTATTAATAATAGAATAGGTACCTCGGCTATAACAGATATACTGGTGGAGGTTGTCTGACATCCCGAATCTGCTTCGGACGAGGAAGCGGACGGTGGATTACCTTTGTTTTCGTTATGCTAAGGATAAGAGCAAAAGCTTTGCATGCAACAGAGAAATGGTTGACGAGTTCTTGGGAATATTCTAGGGATGTTGCCACAAAGGAAAGTCGAGGCATTAAAGAGAAACGCTCAATAGAACAATTGCTGTGAAAATATTTGTAGAAAAGCAGAAGGAAGCCACGTCATGACGGTGAGAAAGTAACTGAATGTTCATCATCTGTTTCGCTTAATATGCACATATTAAACCTACTTAATAAGAGTGTATAAAAGGATCGGGTACATAAAAGGAGGTGTGAAGAGACATACGTGCTTAGTGCTCCATGGAATAAGATAGCCTACGTCCTTAAGAGACACGCCTTATGACCATATCACGTTGAAACACCAGTTCTCGTTCGATATTTGAAGTTAATCAACGCCGAGCTTGATCAGTATCTAGATGGGTGACCGCTTAGAAATATCAGGGGCTGTAATTTCAAGTGTCCAAGCAGTGTAATGGATAACAGATAGGAATGAGAAATTGGAGAGCCGAGTTCGAATTCCAGTCAGGTTCATAGATTCATATACCCTTGTAAAAGATATGAATGGCTCCCCTCTCAATAGGTCTGGATTAAATAGTAATAGTATTATCTGAAATCGTTATTACCTACAAGAAATTGTTAATACACTATTCACTCACAAAAAATAAAGAATTATTATTAGAATACGAAAATATGTTGTGGCTTTAAAAACATACAAAAGGTTAATAAGCTGAAAGAAGTCAATCCATTAACCTTAAGCTAGGCAGCACATAAAAGAAGATAACAGAACATTCCCGATCTATATAATATTTTTGTCATTATGTATAACTTTATTAAGAATGTCTGTTATCAATAAGAATTATTATGTTAAGAACATTTAATAGATTGTATTTGTTAAAATACTTATAATATGTATAATAATTTTATTCTTTTTATATTTAAGCGTAAAATTTCTATTTTTTTAGGAAAGAGGACGTAATTTTCGAAACTGTTGGAAAATCATTTCGAGTCGTATTGGTTCAGCATCATCGATTTCTTTCCCTATCATTTATCATCGATTCAAAATCTTTTTTACAAAATTTGCCAATTCTTTTATCCTTTTATTTATTGATTGTAGTAACGTAACATTTTTTATAGTAACGTAACATTTTTTATATTTTAAATTTGTAGAAAAAGTATTTTGAAGCCTAACGCTAGTTTGTTTTATTTTTTTACGATTGATTCAGAATAGTCAGTTTCTTCCTGTATCATTTAGCTTTCAAATATTTTTAAAAAACAATAATAATAAAAAATATTGATGATAATTTTACACTTTTATTCTTTTTTATTTATTGATTGGTTTGTATTATTGTCAGTTAACGTAATAATAATAAGTGGCACATACACTATTTACTATATTAGTACTGTTTAATATATATGTGTGTTTATGGGTATATCGTCAGTGGTAGTACCTTTGCAGTGAATTGAAACGTGATGCGGAACTGTACTGGTGCACGGCCTACATACAACTCTCACACATGGCTCCAAGCCGTCGCATGGTCATTGCGACAGACACATCCCGGTCAACTGCATCGACATGCAGGCTGAACGGTGTGAAGGTAGTCGAAAGAGTTTCCCGACCCGAACAGCGAAAGAGAACATCTCTCTTCTAACCCACCATGACACAACGGCCATCGACTAGTCTGGGCGTAAGAGCTGCGTCCCAGGGGTCAACGGAGGAACTTATGAGAGGAGGGACGGTGTAACTTCAACCGACAAGCCATTGCACTATTTTACCTTGAATGTCACCATGAAGCACAGTTACAACTAATGGGGGAGTGGTGACCACAGCGACGCAAAAAGCGCTAAGTCAATAAATGAATGAATGATGCATGAGTCGGAGTTAACGTGTGGGGTGGGGGCTGCAGGCTGTGGCTTAACTGGAAGTCTTTAGTATTCAAACTGCGCGTAGACGGCAGGTGTGTGATGGCCACATTCCGGAGAAATAAAACCAAATCTTACATGGGGGTCTTGCATATATGGCTGGGTAGGCCTATTTTAGGAATTCCATCTTCCCATGCCAATCGAGGAAGTCCCTATGAAAGATGGGATAGACATTGAACGCCATCACCTTCACTTAGGAGGCACGGTGGAGTAATGGATAGCGGCTTGGATTGAGGAATCGGAGAGCCGAGTTCGAATTCCAGTCACTTACGTGTTAATACCCTTGGGAAAGGTGTGAATCCTCTTCTTCTCCCTCCAGCTATGGGTAAATAGCAGGACAGACTGGGTTCTATAAGCCTTGGATGGTCAACTCTGAATTCAAAACCTGCGGAGGGTCGTTTGGGGATCTTGTGTCACGTAGTGCACCAGGTCTCTGTATTCGTCCCTTCAAAAAGTGCGGATGGTTCTGCACGAAACCTTCACCACTATAATCAAATCTCCTGTGCTATACATGCGGGTTGGGGACCGCTTGTGAATTCAAAATTCCCATGAAACTTCAATATTGGAGCCAGCTCAACCTACCTCGGGTGAATGCCGTTACAAGAACAAGACAGAGAGAGAGAGAGATCATCTTCACCTGGCTGGAAAAACGCTCCCTGTGGGTGCTCATTTTTCCGCGGTCGAACACAATCTTTCAATTATGTTAACTACTCTACCTTGACTCTGAACGTATTATAACGTTAGAAGGTTCCTCGATCTTCAAGACAAATAAAAGAGACAAAGAGAGTACAAAGAAAAACCAAAGGTCTCTATATACTGAAACCTACCATGCGCCAACGACAATGCATATTCTGAGGGTTTGACGAGTCTAACATCAGTTATCTTATTTTGTTTGTTTCTTGATATTTTTGATTTGTTTTTTGGGCTTATCTCCTCCCCACCACTCATCGCGTATCATTTTCAGATTTTTATACATAGATTTTTATGTTCATTAAAGTTTTTATGTTATGGGAATTCTTGTTTTATTAGGTACCCTGAGAGTAAGCAGTATTGTGGTATATGGAGGATTGAATAATGATAGATGAGTTCTTATGGTGGATGTGCAAATTGTAACGTGTGAATGGATCATGAATCAGATTAGCTACGTGTAAGATAACAAGTGAAAACCAGCCTTAAGCCTTTCACCTTTTAGGCCTGTTGGGGATGTGTGAAGAGTTAGAAAGTATCAGAAGGTTTGAATGGTAAGAAGGCGAGATAATGGGTGTGTTCAACAGTATTAATCCACAACAATATAAAAAGATGGGCATTCAAAATGAATTAATTCAATAAGAAACAACGGTATTTTAGGTTTCATTAATAACAACAGAGCGAACGGGAAATTTTATTCCTCGCGTGCAGGATATCTGATTGGTCGGAATTGACCAATCGGTGAGCTAGTTTTGAGGCGATTAACCAATGAATGCTTGTCGCATGATCTGTATGTATGATGGTGATGATAATGACTACAGGGGAAGAGTGCATTTCCCGCGGGGTGTAACTGGCAAATGTGGAATCTTCCACAGGCCTTGTGCCCAAATTGTATTTTATTTACAATAAATCTCGACAATGCATATTTGTAAAAAAAAAAAAAAAAAAAAAAAGAAAAATTATCTGCAGCGAAAATTCCTTCATTTATGAGAAATATGCAATGACGTCAAAACATTTCCGTTTATACGAGAGAAAAAAACAGCCAGCGTCGCATTTTTAACTTGTGCAGACGTAAAAAGTCATAAGAAATAAGAAGAGATGAAGTATTGGTATACTGAACTCTCGGAGGCCATTTCGTGTCATTTCTCCATCGATTATACATGGAGTACCAGTATTTGCTTTTAAGAGGAAGAAAATAAATAGGTCCATTAAAATGGTCAATCGACAGGGAAAATTGTACAAACCCACGGCTTAATTCATGTAATGATCTTAATCTTAAGAAAATGATTATGATTCTGAAAATACTCGAAGAAATGAGACTAAACAGACAATCAAGAGAGAGAGACGCTCCAATATATTCTTGAGAGGAAACGGAAAACACAAACGAATTTTGCAATTATTGTTTTTCAAGTGTTGCTTATATTCCATTCGGGGTAATTTCCTCATCGATTATACATGGAGTGCCAATATTTGCTTTTAAGAAGAAGAAAAAAAAATGGATCTATTACGAAGGTCCATCGACAGGATAATTTCACGAACCCACGGCAGAATTCATGTAATGATCTTAATCTTAAAAATATGATTATGATTCTGAAAATACTCGAAGAAATGAGACTAAACAGACAATAGAGAGAGAGAGAGAGAGAGAGAGAGAGAGAGAGAGGGGGAGAGAGAGAGAGGGGGGAGAGAGAGGGGGAGAGAGAGGGGAGAGAGATATATATATACTCTTGAGAAAAAACTGAAAACACAAACGAATTTTGCAATTATTGTTTTTCAAGTGTTGCTTATATTCCATTCGGTGTCATTTTCCTATTGTTTAAACATGGAGTGTAGGTACCTTCACTTTTGCGCGGAAAAAATTCATAGCATGATGAAAAAAAGGCCCAAACACAATAAAAAGAAAGTTTTGTCATCAAAGTGTTTATGTTATTATTAAGAGGAAAGGCGAAAGCATTTTTGTTTATTTATTTATTTATTTATGCAATTTTTTTAATCCTTTCTAACACGTTCGAAATTTTGGTTCAATATCTTTTTTTTGTTGTTTACGTCAGCGGTTGACGTTATGATAACGATTAATTTTTTCTTTTTTTTTTTTTTTGCGCTTTTTCTTATGAAAAATTGAAGTGAAAATTCTTGCCAAAATCAAAGAATTGTCGTATTTTAATGCTAGGAACACCACATATGCACGCACGCACGCGCGCGCGCGCACACACACACACAATAATAATTTCAACAGAATAATAATAAAAAAGTGCTATCAATTATATGACAATTCTCCTGCAGGGCCTAAGTATCATAGTTTGGTTTCAGCTCTACAGGATACAGAGAAGGAAACATAACACACATAAATAATAATGTGTTGTAATAAAAAAAAATTAAACTTATTGTAGCGATCAGTTGTTTCTGTCTCTTTCGTCTGCGACACTTTAATTTAAGCCAATTTAACTCAGCTGTTTGGGTATCTTCTTAGTAGAACCAAAAAAGAAGCCGTGGACCAACACAAAGTTCAAATAAGTAGTAATGAAAAACAGGGTCAAAATTCCAACATTTACTTCGCATAAATGCAATTTCGACCACCAAGCTCAGAAATCATTATTATTGGTAAGCAAAAAACAACAACCTTTATTTACCGAGCGATTTTACATTTCACCAAGAAAGTCTTTGCAAAGCAAAATTGGATTTTAAACATGTGATTGATTTTATGTGCAGTAAATGTGATAAAATCAAGGGGGTCTAAACCGCAGACAGTTTCAAAATTTGTTGCAAGAAATGGAGTCTGATATTTCTGATGGGTTGTAAGGGGGCTAAGTCTTGGAAAACTTTTGAAATGAGTATGGCATCTC